ATATAGAATAATGGTCTGATAATCTGCGTTCAGTTTGCTAATCTGTAGTATATATATGAAAAACGAACTCTGACTTATTGGACAGACTGCATTGCTATCTGTCATCAGGTAAATGATATCGTGTGAACTATCAGAGATCATTGAAGAGTGCATATTGGCAGCCAGTGTGTCAACAGACGCGTATAATTATATCAGTTTTGATACTGATATGATTATGAGCAATAATTTATGCTCGAAACCTTGTCATCCAGTCGTTAATACTGCATCACCGTATGATATTTAGCCAGCTTGTTAATATTCTGGTCGGCAGGCACATGGACTCATGTGAAAAATGGGCCAAGTCCATTTTATCTAACTCACACCACCCTCTTCACTCACAACTCTCCCCTTGCATCTCATCAGGTAAAACCAGAAGCCTATATAGAAAACTATATGCTCGCACCAGCAAGTACAAAAACTCAAACATACCCTACTTAGCTCGTGTTCTGTGTGATAAAGAAAGCATTAGGCGTGACACCTATAATTCATTAAATAGTCAGTAGTACAACTGGATCTCGTCTTTCCAACCCACATCATCAATTGGTACAACATTTTCTTTCTTTCTTTTCCTTTTCTCTCTTTTTTTTCCGTTATGTGCTGCTTTGTTTCTTTCTCTCGCTTACGTCAGTAAATATGACAGCTCCTACTTTTCTAACACCTTCAAACACTGTTTCAGCTTTCCTTTGCTACCGATATGCCAATGTGTTGTTATAATAATGAACTGGGATTTCCTTAATCTATGTAGAATTCTATTTATTGATAATGTACTAACTGGATGCAATACTGTAGTAAAAAATGCTGAGAATTCCATTCTGTATCACAAGTACTGTTTTGGAATAAAGCAAATTATTATTATTATTATTATTATTAATAATAAACTTATCTAATACAGAATTACATTCTACCACAGTGTCCAAGTTCTACACTTTAAACTGACTTAAAGTTAGTAAAATATGCGAACGCTGTAGGCAGCACGCTTGATTACCGTACATTTCACATGGATTACTTATCGTATTTCTATGCCCAGTAATTACAGTCAATAAAATTAAATTTTACTCCGTATAACACTCTTGTAAAGAGGAAGACTCGCCAAGTAACTTTGGTTAGGGATTCATAATATGGATAGATAAGTTGATTTTTTTTCTCAACGTACAAACATCATGAATCAACACCAACTAGATAAATAAGGTGATCAACAATATTATGGGTAAAATTTATTTTGATAAAGTCTTACAGTGTTATACAGTAATATTTACTGATGACCACGTTTCGAGCACAATTTATTGCTCATAACTATATCACCGTGATATGGATAATGGAATTATACTCTACCACAGTCCACAAGTCCTATTCTTATATCAAGGTGATTATTAATCTTTAGCATGATATGATTACAATGTCCCGAAAAATGCAGCTCTGAAGTTACAGTAATAATATTTCTGTGACTGCATTAATTCATAATCAAGGTACCTAATAAGCTTTCGGGACTGATGAATTCTGCAAAAGATTAGATTTAATTGAAATGAATGACGCAGTAATGACCTGTAAACCTTAGTAATCTTAAGTTCTAGAAACTAATCGGCGGAAAATCCAGTAGCTATATTTTATTTTGCAAGCTTGACTGGTAGAATTCAGTCTCTACCAAAGAAAGAACCAGAAGGATGATACTGGTTACCAACTATCCAATCAAAGTATCTAATACAGTCCTACAGAAGGTTAATCGTGGGCCTGAATAGCTCAGTGGTAACGTCTCTGACTGGAGTACTAGATGATACGGGTTCGAATCTCAGGAGGGAAATGAGTTCCTTCAAGATTGCTAATACACCTTGCTGACTAGTAAGTGATGACAGGCGCGAAGCCCAGTTTCGAGGCTTTCTGCCACTTGACTTACGAACAATTCCCTTGATCGGTCACAGTCGGATAATCATTCAGCCTGTAAAACTGAAGTTCTTCAGTCTCTGGTAAGACTTTGGTGTAACTAGTAAACATTGTTTAATACATACTTTAAAATATCCCCATCAAAATTTTCTGAACGTGATTACTGATATATAAGTGCTGGATTTTATATTTTAATTCACTGGTAGTCATTTTCCCATTCTTAAGCCCGGTTGGAGATGTGCGGAACCGATAATTATTGAACTGAGACGAAATAGTTTACTGGTTCTCTTTATCTTCAACACTCTTTCAGTTAATGCCAACTCACAGTTAAAACGATTGTCCTAAGGTAATTTTTATTCACCCTTAAAATGCGCTTATTAGTCATTTTTATTTGTGCAAAGTGTATTCAGGAGGGCAAACATCTTGTTAGTCGACGATTCGTTTTTCCTTCTTTTCTCTCGTGCACTGTTGCCATTTTTCTTCTCATTATTCTTTTTAAATACCAAGTATGCTTATTTCATAATAAACATTCTTTGATAAGCTGAAAATTTAGCTATCTTTTCGGTAGAATCTTTTTACACTGATATCCCGTACTTAAAAAAAGTTACACTGGTTTCTTCGTGCTTAACTGTGTACATCCACAGCTGGTTCGGCCGATGTACTCCTAAACTCCATCTAGTAACCTCGAAAAGAGGGAAGCTTGAACGTAAGGCTAAGAACTCCACTCCGTAGAAACAAAACCACGGCCACCGAGACTCCAAAGCTTTAGGTCTGCTTACCTACATTCCACCCGGAACACAAAGGAATGGAAAAAATGTATTAATAAATTAAATTGCAGTGGGAAAAATGCCTGTCTTTGTTCAGCTCGATTTTAAAGGAGAAAATATCGCAGCAGTATTCAACTGAAGATAGAATAAATCGCTAGCCAGAGCTCATCCTGCAGCTAAGATGGTTCCCATCTATCGGACAACACGCTCTTTGGTGCAATCAAAGGTCGACAGATACCCTTCTCATGTTAACTCCAGCTGTGTATGCAAATTTATGTGTATCTGCGGGAGAAGTTATGTTGGGAGAACAGAAAGAAGGGTACACCTCCGATTTTCTAAATATGTACTGAAAGCCTATGTCTCAAGGGAACAAACGCTTACAGTGGTGTCATTATCAGGCATCTCCTTGGTAGGGTTCGTGATGTGGAAATCGCAAATTCCTTTAAAATATCAATAGACGAAAAAGCTCAATTCTCCTCAAGTTTGCCGAAGCAATCTCTATCAAACACCTGAAACCCGAATTATGTGTTTAGAAAGGAGCAGTTACCAGTCTTTCCTTGCCCTGGTAACTGGGTGTTGGTATTCTCTCTTCCATTCGATTGCGTAATCTTTGTCTTTAACCTCACCCCCTTTTATAACTTGTAATTTTGCTTGTCTCTTGTTTCTATGACTTGAGTTGAACTCAGTACATTGTTACCTAATTTATTAGTCTCTCATCATTTTACGCATCTCTCGTCTTTATTACTTAACTCCTTCATCATTGTATGCATATATTTACTTTGTTTAAACTTGAACTGCCTGTGCAAAATCTATATAAGCGTAATTTTCTGAGCACTGTTCACTAAGTTTGGAACTTCCTGTCAATTGACATCATGTAAAATTTGCACTTGCATACCAGAGACATGTCTTATTCATTGGTATAATCCAACCTGGGTTCAGCACCCTTTTTAATCAAACATGCATTATTCATTACGTACATCACATCAGAATAGGAAAGTTAGGATACGTCTTTATCAACCTGAAACCAGTTTGGGAATCTTTTGCACTCAGCATAAACAACAAGATTCGGATTTTCAACGCAAATGTCAAGTCAGTCAATTCTTCTACACGAATCAGGAAATTGCACTATGTGCTCCATCATGGGTAAATTTTATTTTGATAAAGTCTCACAGTGTTATGCAGTAATGTTTACTGATGACGTTTCGAGCACAATTTATTGCTCACCTCGATATGATTATGAGCAATAAATTGTGCTCGAAACGTCATCAGTTAATTTTACTGTGTAACACTGTGTGATTTATCAAAATAAAATCTTATCCATAATGGAATTACACTCTACCACAGTGCACAAGTTTTATTCTTATATCAATTGCACTGTGTGTCACGAAAAGGATTTCCAACAGACCGCTACAGGCTTTTACCAATAACTGCCCTCTCTGACTCCATAGTGAAGATCAAATGGCCTGCCGGCCAGAAAGAACTGGCAACAAGAAACTATGGAAACAAATGAAACAATGAAGAGCCAATTTCTCGACAAAATATTTAGGAGAAAATGGAGATGGATCGGGCCATCTGTCGAATGGAATCCCAATGGGAAGCGACAAGTGGGTCGTCGGTGTGAGGGTGACATGGAGGAGATTGTATGGCGATGAGGAGATGAGAGATTATGGGCAATTGGGACCCACATGAAGAGGACAGCACCAAATACAACAACAAGAAAACAAAGCCATATTTTCCGCTAGGAACCCAAGGAATAATAATAACACATCACAGGCGGTTCATGATAGGTCAGATGTAATCAGTCCTGTTTATTTGCGTGTAGACACTTTCCTATGCTATGTTCTCATCTATATTCCTTTTGTAAGCAACTGCATTTTGATTCATGATTATAAATTGTCCTGAGATTATTTTCCGCTTTACATTAAACTTTGGTAAATGAACAAATGAGATTACTTCGTCTGAAATCAGAATTCCCACTAGTTGAAACTTATTTCTTTATGGCAGATTTAGTTGGCTAATTCTACTTATTAAATAACTCATTATTGATTACCGATCTTCAAACTTATTTTAAGGATAAGACTGGAATTATACAAATTTAGTTTCTAACATAATTCACTGAAAGCTTTCATAATATTCTATTAGTAATCAAGATATAGTAGTGGTGAAATGATTATATATATATATATATCGTATAGTATGAAAGCAAGCAGATAAGTTAATAGGTTGTTAATTTTTATAAATTATTATTATTATTATGGACACAACTTTGTATATTATAGTCAAAACAGGTTAGAAAAAGAACTAATAGTTCAATAGATGGAATGTAAAGTATTGACATTTTAACACTTGAATCTAATATGCAATTCCTTGAAAGCAAAATACGCATATACACCGAAGGGATGATGACTTCATTTAAATGTTTAACAGACAGCAAATGAAATAAATCAAAGAGCACTCATTTCATGATGTATGAACAAATAAATGTATAAGGTCGTTTTTCCATAGTTTTTTTTAAAAAAAAAAGATTTATTAAGACTGAAATGTTTACGAGGTGATTTCAAGTTAAGTAAGAGAACATTACTTTGTAACGTATATTATTGTCAGTAGTCTAAAATACACTTATTAATTAGCTGTTTTCTAGATTGACTTTGTCTTACAACTTGAGGAAACAAACACTTAAAATGGAAATTAGGAAGAAAAGCAAAAGCGATGAATATATATATATATGAATAAATCAAGTGAATAATTTATAGTCATTTTCACGAAAAACTGTTTTATTGCTTCTCAGACTAATGACATATTTGGTTAAGATTGGAACCTGAAGTTTGATTGTCAGTACACAGTTGATTTGTTTCGAAATTAGCCTGTGGCAGAACGTACCGCGTAAACATTGAGTTTCTATAACTCTCTTGTGTCTGTTGATTATCACTAAGAATACTTGATGTCAATGAAGCGGATGGCATGAATACTGATGTATCCGTTCCGCAGGTTTCCGTTACAGAACTTAATTTGCCTAGGTTGGTTTGCCATCTTGGCAATGCGGGATTTGTGAGTGTAACTGCTGACATTTTAGCTGAAGATATTGGTGTAATGTTTAGAGTACTATTTGTATCATTTAAATTTGTAGCGTTGCATGCATTGGAATTCATTTTTACCGCTGCAGCAGCAGCCATCATAGCAGCAGTTGGCAGAAATGGAAAATTATTTGAATTGCTAGGCATCATTAGTACAGGCTCACTCATATGCTCGTGTGGTTGACGCGTTTGCTGGCGGTGTTGTTGATAGTGAATTAATGATCGACTGAATGGTTCTTCTAACTTTAAAGGTTGTTCACTTATTTTACGGGTAACATTATTATCTAGAAGTAATTCATTCGTATGCGAGTTAGTTAACTGAAGATTTTCATATGTTTTCGCAGATATTGAATTTAACACTGAAGGTATAAATGAAGACGATGATGATTGAGATGAAGAAAACGGTAATGAGAAACCAGCAGGCACATTTACACGATCTATAGATTCAGAAGCTTCATTCGCATTGAAACAAGTTTCATGTTTTCTTATAAAGGGATGAATAAAATTATCAAAGTTGAAACTATCTGTCATTTCCGAATCATGGATGGTATTGTTACTGTTGTAATCTCTCCATAACGCCTGACAAACTGAAGGCTTGCTTTCACATGCCTGTGACACTTTCAAGTAATCCTTATTATCTTTCAGATTTCTTAGGGAACTGTTTATACCATCTCGTGGGAAATGACCTGAATACATTTTACTGTCGTCTTGATTACCATCATCGTCACCATCATCATCATTTACGCATGGGCTAGTTTTTATCAAAGGTGTATTGTTTATGTATTGTGTTGTGTTAACAGATTTACTGATGGCTGACCAGTCTGGTAAACTTGTTTGTGCTAATGATGACGATTTGACTGTATTTGTTTCAAAACTGTTACTGCTATTAAGACTGTTTTCACTACTAGAAGATGTGTGCCCTTGTGATAAGCCTGTATCTTGTATTTGATTTAAACAATGGATTTGTTGATGAACGGGCTGACTGTTTGTGTTGCTTGGTAAAAATGCTGGTGTCGATGATGAAGATGATAATGAAGGCAAGGAATTACTTGCCTCTTTGGACGAATTCAAACCAAGGAAGTTTGTCGAATTGATCCCATGAATCACTGATGAGTACGTATTTAACATATTTGATGCAGCAAAGGCTGCAACACTGAAATCTGTAGAAGATGTTGTATTATTACTGATGTCGTTAGAATATTCACAGTTATTTAAGTTATTCATCCAGGATGAATTAGTTATTCCAGATGGCAACCCTGTATTTAGATTCATTCCATTTGGATATGAACAGTATGAGTTTGAGTAAGAGGATCCATTGTTAGTAGTGCTGGTAGATTTAAATGGATATGAATCTGATAGTCCACCCGAATAATTGTGAATATCCTCTACATCAGTCCGATTGTTAGCAAAGTAAGGAAATGGAGGATTAAAAAGGTTTGGACTAGTTCTGTTCGGCAGACTTGGAACTACGTTATCATATGAGGCAGATACAAATGGGTATGTGCTACGGCAGTTATTGGCAGAAGAATTTTGAAAATAGTTGACTTGTGGTTGCGAAAATGTTAAAATTGCATTGGATATCTGATTTTGTCCTGCTGAATGGAAACCATGTCCGGCTGTACCACACAGTGAATAACTGCCCAATCCACAAGATGTTTGACCAACTCCTGCGCGAATTAGTGGAACAAACGGATTCGTGAGCGTTCCGCGTAATACAGCGTCTAGATGTCGCTCACGTTTCCTCCATTTTGCACGACGATTCTTGAACCAAACCTTAAAGAAAATATGACATAAAGGGATTAAAACTAATCTACGGAGAAAAAGAAAAGAAAAGAAAAGAGAGCTGACAACAAATCCATGACGATTTTTTTCAAAAACAGTTACAAAATTAATGAAATATCTTTGCTGAGCATTGACTTTTCCGCAAAGATCTCATCCCAACCATATTAAATATTCGTCGTTAAATTTATCCCATAAATGTTTAAATTATTCACTAAAACTGGTATGTCCTCCGCATCCACTTGTTGTCATAAGAGGATAGTTAAAATAAACGACAAGTTCACCGACTATGAAATGATGACATTAGACTAATGATAGTTTCACAAGCCAGATGATGAGCATACTAAATGACGAAACAAGCTTTTAAATAATGAATCAACTGAAACGTTGTCACTGTGTCTGCATGTTCATGCTTCATAAGACAACAGTAATTTTTTGTGTGCACAGTAGTTTTATATTGCCTATAGAACGACCAAAAGTAGCAAATATACAACCAGGTAAGTAGATGGATATTATTTAACCTTCTGATTAATTTACAGATATGGATTGTTAATTAAACAGTCGTTCGTCTTCTGTAGTGACTGATTTTGTTCAACTCTGGAATTTTCACCAACTTACGATTTCCGTTTTTATGTCTGAAGAGTTATGATTTCATGAGGGACAAGAGATCTACCTTCTTAACTGCTTTGTAGTTTTATTTGACTTTACCTGACAAAATGTACCAACCCGCCTTTTTTCACTGAGTGACTTTGTTAATACTGGTTTGCCTTGCAAGAACCTATCGCTTGATATTATCCACTCCATTTTCTATATTAGTCGACTTAAGTATACACTTGTTGGTCACTGGGATTGTAACCAGTGTCATGTTTCTTGTCCATTGTGTTAGTGTTGACTGAACTTTATCAGTCATGTTTGCAACATCATCACCAAGCGAGGTGACTCACCATCGAGTGCACTTCAAAATGGTGTTAGGCGGTTGGAAGTAGGTGACAGGATACCATCAACTCACCGTCAAGTCGTATCTTCAACGCTGAAGCAACTAGTGTTCCAAACAATAATTTTATTTCAAGTTTGATCACTGACTAATATCAGTGAAAACTATGGAGTACTGGACAACTGTTCCGTCCTTGTTTCAGACTTATCTTCAGTACGCATTCACCGGATTTCAAACAAAGGTCCTTCCGGATACAAGGGAAGCTCATGAACCTCTCAGACATTATGACCTGAATCAATGGCCCATGAATTCTAAATACTACCATTCTGTGATTTTAGGGCGACCAAAAGCTAATATCTTGGGCGAGCATTTATTCTCACTTCCGGCTAGGTGGATCCCACTGTTCATGACTTCTCGCTACAACTCTCGGCAACTTCATCCTGCAGCCAGTCACTAGGTAACATCAGATTTTATTTGATAATACACACTGATACAGTATTATTTATTTACTGATGACGTTTCCAGTTCAATTTATTTCTCATAGTCATTTCATGGCGCAAATTTAACTTTTAGGTTTTGTTTATGCATAACACTATTTCTCATGCAAATCTCGATCAAAATCACACAAACACAGTGACAGACAAGTATAATGCAGTGTGAATCATGCTTATGATCGTCTTCGCCAAGGTGGTAGGTAGCTGTATTAATAGTGTAGATAAGGCATGCGCGACCTAGTTACAGCTGGAAAGTGTGGGTGCTCTCACTTTGAGTGGGAGGGTTATTTGGTGTTGTTGACTGGCGATTACTTGTTGGTGTGTATGGTCTACTGCATGTTTTGTGTAAGAGTCTTCGGAAAGCATGTGATGATAAGACAAGATGGGATGACTGGCGATTTCGGCAAAATATAAAAGGACAATTTAATCTGAAAACTGAATTGCACATTTCCGAAATTCTGGCCACACACATATTTGTTATACATAATTATATTTAAAAAAATGAATCAATATGGGTTAAAAGGTTTATGGATGAATATCAAAGTCAAAGATCGCAAAGTAGCTACTTGTGTGAATGACTAGTGATTGTTGATGTTGCACGTGAAAGTCGCATAATGTAGTTTGATTTGAACCCACGTCCTTTCGGACCGCTACCTTGCATCGCTCGGCCAGTCCACCGACTGAAATATCATCAGTAAATATGTAACACTGTCACTGTGTGTTTTTTATCTAACAAAATCATTCTTTTATATGATTATACTCTACCACAGTGTCCGAATTCTATTCTTTTATCAGTGGAAATAATATCCCCTCTGAGATTCGAATCCATGCAACTTGTGGAAACAGTTGGTCCCCTTGATAAATATGAAGAAGAGAAACATTGTGAGAGTTTCACTGAAACCTCTTGACAACTAGTATGGTCGGCAGTAATAAAGTAAGATGTTTGACAGTTAATCAGTTATCTAAAATCAAAGTGCATATTGATAACCAATCGTATTTTAACAGGTCTAGTAGTCTATGCTAGGTGAAAGCTGAAGTCGATTGCCACTTAGGTACTTTTTTACTCTAGATAACATGAATGTCTGTGCATAAAATTAAGTATCATTCATGTCAGAAATCACTGGAGTTAGTTAGAAGGGTCTATTCATCATCAACATCTTCGGAGAACTATAATTTATTTTCATTTCACACATGTATATGCCGTTTTTCAAGGTCAGCATAGCTTGGAGTTACCATTTCATTTAATTAGTAGAGTGAGTTGCTCCATTTCAACTGATACTAGTCAGACAGAACTGGTGGTAGTGAAAGCGAAAGTAATACCTGGCCAGTAGCTCACTTTCATGACGCAGTGTGTATAGTATACGGGCTGGTAGTCTGCAAGTCAATGCGCGGGATATTTCTACTGCAATAATCATGTCCATCAAACTGATTTTTCTATAGTTGGTTTGTAAGGATTAGATTTATTTTTACGAGTTCATCACGAATATATATCAGTTAGAGAACCATTGAAAACCAGGGAGTACTAGACAGCTGTTTCATCCTAGTTTGGAAATCGTTGGCAGTATGCACCCACTGGGGTTTGAATCCAGGACCTTCCAGTTACAAGGCAAGCCATCCAACCACTGGAACCCGACCTAATGGCCCATGGATTCTAACTTCTACCAATTCGTGATTTAGCGAGACCACCAAACAATGTTATCAATGGGACATCCATCTTCACACCTGACTGGATGGACCTCACTGGTCACGAATCGGTAGAAGTTAGAATTCATTGGCCATTGAATTGAGTCCCAGTTGTTGAGTGGTATACAGGCTAGCTTACCTTGTACCCGGAAAGCCCTCGGTTCAAACCCCAGTGGGTGCGTACTGTTGATGATTCCCAAACTAGGATGAAACAGCTGTCTAGTACTCCCCGGTAGGTTTAAAATGGTTCTCCAACTGATATCAATCCGTGATCGACTGGTAAGAACTGATTTTCAATTTCAAAATAATAGCTTCAAACAACTTGTGATGCCCAACAACCTTGACAAAATACATTCTAGGGTGAAAGCCAGGATAAAACTACATGAGTCTGTTCCTTCAGTGTAGTGAGAAGTTACAGAGCTCTGTGGAAAAAAGGTGAAAAATGAAGCTTTCTAAAAGCGCTCAGCCAGTATTTCTTCAGAGAAAAACTGAGTCAGGGGCCTGGAAGTGAGAATTTGCAGAAAATAAAGTTTGATGTGAAGCAATTCTATGCAACTAGAAAGAACGTTCCCTAATAATTAGTTAGATTTATCAAGAAAAGTAGTCGGAGATTATAAAATTTGTTCAATTAAAATCTATTTGTTTATTTTAACTCATCATTTCTTAGCAATAAAGTTATCCATTCAGTTTACTCTAAGAAACAATAAGAAAAAAATGAAAATAATTATTGTTACCATTATTATTATTATTACTACTACTACTACCTATACTGAGTTGAATACTAATTCTCTAGAGGAGAGATTTGTTTATTTATCTTGTCGAGAATATTATCACTGCATCAGTTGAGCGTAAGAGAGAAGACAAATTGAACAAACCAACAAACTTTTTCTCTTCATTCTCATTATTTTTTATTTTAACTGGTAAAATTAAAAGGAATGTTGGGATTATTGTAGAGTGTTTTAGTATGATAATAATAATAATGATAATGATAATAGTAATAAGTCATTCAATTTGACGTTGATTCAAGATGAACTGACTGCATGAAATATGTGGAATTATGTCATAATCTTGACAGGGATTTCAAACAAGAAAACAACTAAATATGAATATTACGATTTTGATTAATGACCTAGTTCTCTTTCTCTTTTAGTGAAAGAAATGAAGATTGTTTCATTATAAAACAGCTCATTTGCAGAATTAATATTAACTTTAGGATTTTGTCCGCATGAAAAAATGAGGAAATATTGTTTTTAGTTGCCTTACTTGGAAGTTTTTAATACTATTATATATAACTGGATAAGTGAAATGATGCGCACGGCTTTGTGATTGATATGATGCAAACTGATGTGAACACTTGTCGAACTTTTTTAATAAACATTAAAGACCAGGCCTTACAGGTCACTTTTATTATGTTAATTTCAAAATTCCTAAATATTACGCAAACTGCTGCTTCGCACTCAGAATCCTGTAGCTAAACATTTTTATTTAGTCATTTGGCAATTTATGACACCGATTTTCATCTTAACTCTCGACTAAATGGAGTTAGATATATCTAAAGTAACATAATATAACCAGTTTCGAAGCCTTAAAATTTCTACCAAAGTTCATTTACTATTGAGAACTTTTTTATTAAAACATGGTAGCTCACCTGGTCTCATTATGCTTAAATTAAGTATCAGTTAGCGAAGTTGGAAAGTCATTGCGATAAATGATATTTTTAATGAAACTAAAGTAGCATGATGTGAATTGTGTTCCATGGCCTGTCCATTTTGCATCACTCCTAATAGTTATATGAATCAAATTCACCTTATTACATCTATTTCTAATTTTGTAAAAATGGTAAATTTGTAACAACAAATGAAGATGTTATAGTTATTTTTGAA